AAACATTAATGTATTACAATGGAAATGAAGCTTCTGAAAAATTCAGATGCAGGATAATGATTCCCAGATTTTTAAATTATAAACTCTCAGAATTATGTCTGTGTTTCTATAGTAACACACCACTATTTTTCAGTTAGTAACTTTGTTTGCTCCCATGTCATAATCTGACTGTTTCTCCAGTAACAGGCAGTGATGCCAAATCCTGATAGTCCATGTTACATGTAGAATACTTTACTGAAGACTCATAAGTATGATCTTTCCATGGTATGTTTGCCTCAAGAAAATGTGAACAAAGCATCTAAGAAGCTAGGCTATCACCACCTAACTACCTAGCATGGGGGTACCTGCATTACTGACTGCTGTGCTGCAAAGGAGGAACTGGAATTAACATGATACAATCTGTTATGTTCTGTGGTTCTAGGGTGTATGACCACAACATGTGCTCAACAATCTGTTATGTTCTGTGGTTCTAGGATGTATGACCACAACATGTGGACATAAGGTTCAGTCAGGTACTGCTCACAGCTGTGCACCAAATATGCACAGAGGTGTAGAAGGAGCTACATCTTGTAACTGCAACACTTGCTCTGCACTGAAGACTCCAAGTACAGGCTTAGATCAAATCCACACCAACATCTCACTAAACTGCAGGTGAGGTGCTATGATCATACTTGCAGTTATTCAGATACAGACCCATAAGAACTATCTTAATTTTACTCAGGCAGCTAGATCATTGCTTGTTTCAGTTCTAAAATTATTTAAAAGTTACATAATACCCAAATTTAACTACTTTTTCTGTGCTGTGCAATACCTCTGTCTTCGGGAAGGCAGAAATAACATCTATGTGGGTGCACTTTTTCACCATCACTGGACCATGACCTCGGTCACTGATTTATATGAGGAGTATAATCTCAAAGTGACTACACTTAGAAAAATGCCACTTGAGTGTCTTCTACAAGATTCCTTCAACAAGACAAAGCAAACCACACTAACTCCAAATATTACCTGATTTATTTCTAAAGTTCTAAATATGGTTTTATGAAAGAATTAATCCTTCTCTCAAGATTCTAAAGCTTCACCAGAATGCTTACATGCTTTCTAATAGATAACCTCTGCTTTTCTTATTTGTGTGTATCTTTTGACAAAACTGGAGTTGAAAATGGACTTTCCCATTAAGAATGTTCATTTAAATGGAAGTGATTAGAATTTACTGCTTACCTAAATAAAAGGGAAATCTAAGTGGGCTTGAGAATTGTTTCTGTGCACTATTCAAGAAATATTTATCTAAAAATAAATTCTATATGCAACACATTAGTGCAACCAACCATGTACAAAACAAATTATTTAGTACTGTCTCTCTATTTTGATTTTTATATACTTACCTTTTGCTACGCAACTGTTATTCTTCTCCTTATAATTTTTCTCACATGAACATTTGTATGACCCTTTAATATTATTGCAGTGCTGGGAGCAGGCACCAAATACCATACACTCATTGATATCTATAAGGAAAAGAATTATAATTTATGTATCTATAATGTAATACATTATTATTTAACATGTTCAAAAAAACATTGAACAAAATATATGAAGAAAAGGAACTCATAATGTTATTTCCTCTGTAATCATATCTCAGATTTTTATACACTATTTCTCCATTCTTCCAATATCAACCTCTTATTATTAGAGCTTAAAATCAACTTTGAGAATAAAAATATCTGTTGCAATTTTCTCCAACATACCTGCCCCTGGAACAGCCAAAACTACATGGTTATCCCTTGCTGGGAAAGCTCCTGTGCATGGCTTTTTCTTAGGAGGTAAACAATGAAGTTTCTCTATGAAAGTATATACACAATTTGAAGGTCCCATTAAAGTTATCTCCACTTTTTCTGTATGTTACTGTTCACCAGTAAGAAAATGAATTCACAACCCATTGTTTGGGAAGGTAGATTTATCTTACAACAAAAGAGTTGATCAGAAGGATAACAACTGTCTTTTTTTCTGACCAGTGTTGTACCATCTGTATTAAAGCTACATATTCTAAGGAACTTTGCTTTCAATATGTTTATTTTCATATAAATTCAATTTTATGCATCTTCATTATTTTAAGCATCTCAAAATAGATACCAATTTGAACATCAAACCCAATTGTTCAGCTAAATAACCTACTAGACCTCAAATCTCCCACTTACCTCTTAAACTACAAAATCACTCAATGGTCTCACCTGCACCTTTTGACATTCACAACCACTATTAATTCTGATAACCTCTGCAGGTAAAATGCATAAGTCTACATCCTGTAAATCCTTTCAGTGTCTTTTCTTCTTTTTTTTTTTTTTAATCCCTTAGCTAAGAAACAGTTTTTATTCTGTGGTAAGAAGTTTGTGATACGTATCTCCTTCTCCAGGACAGAAAACTGACTATGCAGGTAACATTTAATGCTTTACAGTAAGGGATGATGGACAAGACTTGTACCTTCACACTGTCTATTCCACTTGTTTCTCTGAAATCCAGGTTTACACCGACACAGCAGGGATGTTTTTGTTTGATTACAGTAAGCATCATCTCCACAAGGATTCACATGATCCTCACATGTATAGTCTGAGACACCTAAACATAAATAAAATGTCTAAAAAAATCATTGATAGATTTGCCTAAAGTGTTAAAATTGAGATGTAAACTACCACCACCACCAAATAACAGTTATCTTTCTGTTCAAAGAGTTCAAATCAGGTAAATTTTAAACAAATATATGACATTACAGTATTTGCCTTAATATAAATTTGACAGCATTTAATTGAGATTCTTCATTTCACATTGAGTATTTAATAAGAAATTTATCTTTTTGCAAATATTAAATAAAATACAATCAACTTATAGCTCAATTAGTTCAAGAATTACTCTAAAAACTGCTATAAGCTGAATTGCTGTAAAATTTGCATGCTTCTTGTGGTATGTCAAAACAGGATTAACTTCCTTAACAACAAAAAACCCACTTTAATCTCTGTGTTTTTGACTAGATTTTCAATGGATGCAAGTCATAATTAGTTATTTCTTCTCTGCTACAATCAGAAAAAAAACATATCTTGGTAGCCAAACTCACTTATTTTGCAGTCTTGCTCATCTGAGCCATCTCCACAGTCATCAAACCAATCGCACTGTAGCTCCATTGGAATACATTTTTTATCATGACAAGCAAACTCATCTTTTTTACATGGTCTTGCTTTATATGTGACTTTATCTACATAATTATAAATTAATAAGAGAAAAATAAATCAGCATTTAAGATCCTTAGATTATTTTAGACACATCCAAATGAGAACGACCATGAAGCATTAAGCGACTGAAAATTATTTCAAGCTTAATTTCTTTCAGTTTTGAATTCTGATCTACTAACCTCCAGTTAAGCTTTACTGAAGGACAAGCAGATCTCTGTAACAAAGTTTGCCTTCAAGTTGTTTTCTTTGATCTGAATGCCTTGAAAGGTAATATCACCTACCGCAGTGATCTTCATCCGAGTTATCACCACAGTCATCAACCTCATTGCAAATCTGCTCAGGTCGCAGACAAACCCTGTTGTTCCTACATCTGTATGGCCTTGTTGGAGGGCAGGGGAACTTTACTGTGTGTTAAAAAGAAAAGAATCAGCTATTACCCAGCAAGTATTCTTGGATGTTCCTTAACGTCTCCTTGTCAAAGCAATAAGCAGGCAGGGGAACACAGCTGCACCTGACATATGAATGGGGCTTGACTTGAACATCTGGTACATAATGGAACAGCACTTCAACAATGTTTATAGTATAAATTCTTCATTAAGGGAATTAAATTATTGTGTGTGATAAGCACAATTACACTTTGTTTTGAGAATCATTAAATTAAAGAAATAAAGGAAACAGGAAGTTTAATGCTGATCAATAATTTGATGTAGAAGTAACCTTTTCCCATCTGTGCATTTCTGCCCAAACGATTAATTTCCTCACAAGTATCTTATCTGAAATTACATGAATAGCAATAAAAAGAGAAAACTATATCCCACATTTCAAGGTAATCTTCCCAAAGTAAAATTAAGGAAACACATATGTTCTTATATATTTATATAATAGTATATTTATATGTTTTATGCAATTTCCTGCTTTGCTGCATGAAAAGCACAGAAAAATGTCATGTCATACCACACATCTCTGCGACTTCATCAGAGTTATCTCCGCAGTCATCCTCACCATCACAAACCCAAAAATGTAGTTTGCAGAGGGAATTGTTGCACAAAAATTCATCAGCTCTACATATATTTCCCCCTGGGTGGATGAAAAGACAGAAAAACAACAAACCACAAACAGGAAAACAGAAGGACAAAAGAAAAAACATCAATTCTTGCTAAAACCAGTACAACCACTTAGCACACACCATCTGCAGAGAATGACACATGTAGCATAAATAAAGGAAAAAAAATTCAAAGGAAAGGGTTGGAGAGGCAGAAAGAAATACTCAGTTCAAAATCACTTTCTGGACCACACAGTTCTTGTGCTTCCTTTCCCTGACTGTTACCTAGGAATTACCTGTCTGGCCTGACTAGGAGAGGCAGCTGTCAAAGCCAGACACTGGCAACTCACCAGCTAGGCACGTTCCCCTTGCATTTTGCCAGGAGATGCTTAAACTGTCCTTCTGTCCGTAACTCCCTTGGTGATGCTGCCTCTCAGACAAGACCTGGCTGGGTACATCAGTAACTTGTGTTATCAGAGAACGGTACAAACCAGGAGACAGAAACATGGTCAGACTTGTGAGAGATTACTTCAGCTCAGGTTTGTTAGCCATGAATGTCTGTCTGATCCTCCACTTATTCTTATTCCCCCTCTCTGAGCTGCATATCATTTTCAGAAGAGACAAAGTGATTGCAGTCCCTTAGCCATGAGGTAGCACATTTTCTTCTCCTGGGGAATAACAGGCATGGCCAGGCTTGTTTAGGGGAGATCTAGCCATGTAGGCACAGAGCAGATAAGACCATGTGACCTCTAACAGTTTCTTCCTTTCTGTAACTTCTGAAATTTCTCATTAGGATATTTACTGAACACAGAATGCACCAAGAATAAATTTCTCCATGTAACTTTACTATTGATTGAACTCTGAATCATGCTATAAAATGGAACAGAGGGTGAGACAAAGCATTTCAAGCTGGAGTGCTCAAGCTTTAAAAATTGGTCCAAGTGGGATTCAGTTTTAATATGTGTAGCAGTAAGAAGGCATTTTATTTCAAAATTATGACTAAATTTTACCACTACCAGTCAATGAAGTTATGGAAACCTCTTGAAACTTAATTTTCTATATAACACATTTTTATGGTAACTGGATTCTTGGTTTCCTGAGAGAAGTAAAGTATAAAAGAAATAAAGCTGTGTATGTGCAGAGGAGGAAACAATGAAATTTTGCATGATAGCACCAAAACTCTCTGTTCTATCCTCAAGGCACTACACCCACCCTAACAAATCAGGCTCCAGTGGCTTTTCACTTATTCATTCAGGGCCCTGTTCACACCCCATTAAAATCAACAAAAGGCTTTCTTTTGCTATAAAGGATTCAGAATGGTTTAAATTTTTTTTCAAGAAAATTAATTTGCATTAAATATCCATTGTATAAGAGAATGTTGGGAACTCAGACACTATGTTACCAAATATAATTAATTCCCATTGCAAATATAACTCGTGAACATTAACAGAAATATTCTTTATTAATAACCAAGGAAAAATATATAAAATTCAAGTATTCTTCATGATGAAAGACATGAATATAAATAATTGTGTGTGTAATCAAAATATAACCATAACTCTAGTGGTATAATGAGACTGAAAAGAGCTATGTTTATAAGTAGGCACAGTGGGCTACAGATAAATATTATAGAGATTGTTTTAGAAATGCTGTGGAATAAAACTCCATTTGTGTTTGTTGTATTTCCAGAGAGGAAAAAATTAGTTAGCAGTGAGATAAACTGGCATTTGTTTCAGGTGATTGCTCTGCCTGTCATAATTCCTTTACAGAATAGATTTCTATAACAGAAATCATAATTGTGACATAAATACAAAGTATTATAGCAATAACCAACTAGGCAAAAGGCTTCTTATTGCATTATAAGCAATTTGCAGTTCACAGAAGCTCCATTATGCTATCCAAAGAATAATGTGGGCTTCAGATAAAATAAATGCATTACTCCTTACTTACACTTCATTTGTTTTTAAAGAGATACAGTCCAGATATTTTAAAAGCTGTTTTAAAATGGACTAGAAGTTTTTTCAAACTTTGTTACCTTCACTCTTGAACACATCCTATTATAATGTTTTTCTCTTCACATCTAAACACCTCTGGAACATTCTTCCCAAGTTTTTTTGGTCTCTCTTTCAAATTTACTAATCCCATAGAACTTATTTTTTCCCCAGTGATAAGTGTTGCTTACCAGATTTTCAACAAAATAAGTGAAGGATATTTTACTCAGTAATTGATTGCTTCATCTCTGATTATTATCACTTCTTATTGTACTGCATTATGCTTTTGAAGCTACATACATATCGTGACTGTACATGATTAACACACAGAACTACTCACTTTAAAGAAGAAAAATCTAAAAAAAAATGAAGAAGCCAACAAAAGTCTGAGTAAAATTCGTTAGTATGAGTGAGAATTTCTGTGTTTGTCATAATTATTGAATTACTACACTTGCTAAGAATTTTCTGCAGGGTTACTGTGATGCTGTCTGGCAGATGAAAAAAGGTTCAGTTGAAAAAAAAAAATTCAACAGTAACTATGACAATTAGACCAACAGACGTATTTCTCAAAAACATATTTGGAAGCTTAATCATAAGCATGAAAGTCTAAGCATAGTGTTTAGCTTAATGTGAATCAACTAATGTGCACAGTTCTGCTCTCTGAGAAGAGAGAGAATTCAAAATGTGTTTTTGTGGTTTCTGGTTAGCTGCAACATTTCATCTCCACAGAAATAAATAGAAAACTGGGGTATTAAGATTACTTATTTAGCAATTTTTCTTTATGCATGGCTTTGTAATTTATGGCTGCCTATAAAACTGTAAATTAACTGGACTTATTACTGATTTCCCTGATGAGACAGAACATGCTTCCAGTAATAACACAATCTTTTGGTCCTTGGGGAAGAAAGCACAAAGAAGGAACAATGAACGTTGAGTCATAAACAATGTCTGTTTTGCTCTGTCTTGCAAAGTACTTATGAAGCTGCTCTGTTGTCTTTGTCAAAAGAGGTCACAGAGCTTTCATTTCATCACTCAGAATGGCCAGAATACTACTAACTTATAACACATATTATAAAAAAAATAAATAAAATAAAGTAAGTCTTTTAAAGAAAAGCATCTCTCGCCTTGGTCACAGTTTTCTTCATCACTGCCATCCACACAGTCATGGATCCCATCACAAAGCCATCTGACAGGGATGCAGTAGGCCTTATTTTGGCATCGAAACTGATCTTCCTTACATTCTGTTACACAATCCATCTGTGTAAATGCACATATAAACTGAGTGTTAATTAATGAGAAAAGCAACATACTTAAGACAAACCTAATAAAATTGACCAACACTGTTTTTCACTGCCATACGTATTCCATACAGTAAACATAACACAATGTACAATTTAAACAGTTACTGAAGTGAAACTGTTATCAAACATTATATATGTTCTGATATCACTTCTTTAGGTGGCTTAATATTAGCAATGGAAACAATGGCTATATTTGGGTTTCTGAAGTCAGCTGCCCTACAAGGAACGATCCTGGACACGAGGCCACTTAGTTGAACTGGCTCCTCCCCACATTGATCAGGACCAGAAGCCTCCAGAAAGGACTGTCTGCACCTGCACTCTGCAGCACTTTGCTCAGGCACCCTTCATACTCTAACTGGCACCTTTATGGCTCTAAGAAATAACAGCTATTTTTGTTCTTTTTTCTTGTTTTTCATGAAGGTGGCAATTTTTTATAAAGGCAACAGGTGGGAAGAGCATGGCATGAAGGCCCCCAGAGGCTGAGGTGCCTGCTAGGAGTATATGAGATGAATCTAGAGGACAGAGGGAGCCAAATGTGACACAAACTTGTCCACGCTGCCAGCATGGGGCAGTCTCTGAAGCAAACTCCTCCAGAGCCATGCTCAGATTTTGACTTGGGGAAAATCAATTTGTCTGCTCTAAAAGGTGGCCACAGAGCAAACAAACAGAATGCAGCATAACTACCAGGGAACTGAAACCATGGGGCTAAGTTATCTGACAGTATGCAATGGATAAAAAAAAAAAAAACAAAAAACAAACATTGGACTCTTTAATTGCTTTCAGATGTAAAACTGCTAACAAATTTCATGTCAGACAGCAGGAAAATAAACAATCAACAGAAACTTGTCAGCTACCTCATCAGATCCATCAGCACAGTCATACTCGCCGTTACATTTCAGAGATGCTGAAATACAGCCTCCACTGGCACACACGTACTCACTTGAAGAGCAGGTTGGAGATGCTGGTTGCAAACACATATTTTAGCATTAAGAAAAAGACAGTTCATAAATAAGCTGTTTTATATTTTAATGGTTTTATCAGGTTAACACAGTGAGCAAACTTGTATTTATAGCTGACCAGAGCTTTTCGAAATGTTTGCAAACTACAATGAAGTATTTGACAAATCTGAATTGCTGCATCCTAAGTAAACTGTGTAATGATAGTCTGAGCATGTTTGTGTTTTATTGCTATGAAATTTCTATGTTTTCCTTATGCTTGGTAACAGCAGTAACTACACACCTAAACATGGTCTTAGAATGAGTAGATTAAAAAAAGTTACATTCTTTAAATGTAGAGTTTAATTTAGAGTCTAGCTAAAGTTATGTAAATGCTTATAATTAAATAAGCTAAATTAATAAGAAATCATTGTTTTAGAAAGTACACATTATCACAATTAAAATAATCACATATTAATCATTTTTATTTAAAATGTAGGTGGATATTTTTGTCGCACTGTTCATTGGGGAGTTTTGTCATAGTGTTCTATCTGCACCCATCTAAATGAAACTTATAAAAAATTTAAGACAATTCCTGTAAAAATAAACTGTTTTCCATGACAGCAAAAAGGAAAAAAAAACAAACAAACAAACAAAAACAATAACAATAATTTTTTAGAGGAAACTTTTGTATAAGAACTAGTAAACTCTGAATGAATGTTAAAGCAAAAACCCCTCAGAATGCCAAGAATTACTGCTGTTTCCAGAGCAGAATTTTATACACTGAGTTTACATTAAAAAATTATATTTCAATATAATTTAATACCATTTCACAACAAGGTCTGTAATTATACATAAGTGTTTTCATAAGATGAGCAGGAATATGCAATGACAGACTGTGAGAAGAGAAAGTATCTCAGATTTTTTGTACTCCTTCCTACTTCTAGTGCCCAAGGAACCTTGATTTTTTTGATTTATTTTCTCCTTATTTCATTCTGCTTTATTCCTTGCTTCAGTATTATTTAATACAATACCTGGTTCACAATTTTTCTCATCATCCCCAAATTTGCAGTCTTCGTGACCATCACATTTCCATTTTGCTGATATGCACTGACCATTTGAACACTGGAACTGATCTCTTGAACAGCCTGTTTCACAATACCTCTGGTACAAAAAAAACAACACACATACAAGAACAGAAGTTTAATATAAATATTGGTAACTATACAGCTGATCAGAGAGGTCATGACCTATACTAGTCCGTGCTATGAAATAAAATAATGTCTTGCGAAATAAAATATATTAGTAGATCTGATTCGTGAAGGTGGCTTGCGCCCTCTAAGTAGGTGGGAAGCACCTGAGGTCCAGCATTGGCAGGGAAAAAGAAGGGACAAAAGGGACAAGAAAGGACAAAAAAACTGCAAAGCATTAGCCAGTGAGCTTCTGCTACATAACATTGTTTTCTCAAAAAAAAAAACAAAACCAAAAAAAAAACCAACCCCAAAACCCCACTAAACCAAAAAAGCCAAACCCCTCCTGTGTGTAGAGAGTGATGCCCATCCAGTACACAAAATATTTCCAGGATGGGAAGAGGTCCAGATCGTCGCTTGGACAAAAAGATGCAGACTATTGTTAAACACGACTTGATTTTATTTGCATGTTCTCTTTTTTATGCTTTTTCAATAGGTTTAGTTTTAATTTAGTCAAGATATTTGATTATATGGATTCATGTGCAGAATTCCAATTGCTACTTTAAAAAACATTCCTATGTAGAAGTCCCTTCTCCAGTAATATAAAATTATAATTTTTCTAAAGAATTATTTTTCCTGGAAAAAGCCTACCTCATCTGAGCCATCTGCACAGTCATAGTCTCCATCACACCAGAATCTTGCTGAAACACAGTCTCCATTTGCACAAAGAAAGTCTTTCAAGGTGCATGTTTGAGGCTCTGAATAAAGAAAAGTAACAACCCTAGGTTTATTAGCATTTCCATAAAATATTTTACACATAATCTCCCCCAATCCATCAATTAATGACTATAGCAAAGTCAAAACCACTAACTTGCAAACTGTAATGATTTTTTTCCTGTAGGATTTTGTTTCTTAATATTTTATGGCTAATTTTCATTTACATATAGTAAGATTGTAATGAAAATACTTTCATTTCTATCAAATTTCTTTGGAAAATTATGTGATGCTGACTCTATAAATACAATTTATTCCAATGCATGTATGTTATTACAGGTTTTGTGAGATATGTACCAAAGACTAGAAATACATTTTGCACCAGCACACAACAGCATATTATTTATCATATGCCTTCTAACATATGTCAAGGGACAGTTTCCCCTGTGCTAAGCATTCAGGGGAACAATATTGAGATATTAAATGGAATGCCTAAGAGGTAAGGTTTGGAATCTCAAGTAAGATCCATCTTCCAGAAATTAAGTATGAGATTAAGCATGAGAATAATCCACTGATTTAAATAGTGACAAAACTGTTAGAGAGATTTAACAGAATTAGAATGTAGTGAGTTGCAAAAGTCAATGGACAGCATACTTTCATAAAAAAAAACTACTATTGTCAATTTGTTAGAAAACACAGAAAAGGGGAAAAAAAAGTTAAGGGTAAAAATGGAATTTCAAGTAATTTTAGGGAAACAGAAAGGGGATGTTAGAAAAGAAGTAATCTAAGGATTTTACAGATGGATAGGAGACAGTAAAGGTTGGAAGATAAGTGGTAGATTTTGTGATAAATTGGTAAATTGTTCTACTCCCTGGGAAGAAACAAAACACATGGAGGTCTGAAACCATTATAAAAGGTGGAAACAATAAAGAGGGAGAGCAGACACAAAATTAGTTCAAGGTAGAGGCAAGGGAAACGAGGAGCAGGCAGCAGGAGTGATGGGGCAATCCTGAGAAGGTGAGATTGGCTTTTCAGTCTATTTACTTCTCTGCAGAACTCTGCATTTTCACTGCTACTCCCACAAAACCACTGGTGAGGGGACCAGTGTGGGAGATTCCCCCAGCAGAATACTATGTGTTTTCCTCCTGAAAATGAGGACTGTTAGAAAAGCCATTGGGTAAAATTAAGTTAATATGGACTTTGGACCATTAGATTAATCAAAGGTTGAGAAATGGTGGGGATTGAGGAGACTGTAAGCAAGCCTCTACATGCAAGTTAGACTTTGCTAGTCAGAGAGCTTTGGGAAATCAGGATTATTTGTGGGATTATTTCCATGACAGTAAACATCACCTTATGTAAATACTGTAAAATCAAGAATAAGATTAATTAGTAAGACCTTTTCAACAGAGAGATGGGAAAAAAGTTCAAATGCTAAATGACAATGCATAAATTAGTGGAGGAAGGATTAAAAACCACGAGAGATTGAGAGCAGGCAGTAGTAACGAGCAGTAATGGATTGAGGAATGCTGAAGGGTCCTTTAGGCAGTTATGGAGGGTGGAAGCATGAATGCTTTTTAAAAACATATCATACTGATCAAGGAAAGGAAACACAAAACTAGAGACTTCCAGGTGAGAAGGACTGGTAAATACCAGCATGAGAATATACTAGACATGAGTTCTGCAGACCTAAGGTAAAGTCGAACTACGTTTTTTTTTCTAAATT